TCTCAACTGCTTTTTCAACGTTGCTTTTATAGTGATAAAATTCTTGCTAGCAATTTCCTTTTGAATCTTTGAACAACTGAGATCTCTCATCCTACGGATTAGGAGTTTTGTTTTTTATTTGTCTTTTATGAATTTTCCCTTTTAAAGATGGCTATTATTTATTCTTTGCCCTGAAATGATGTTTGCCATTTCTTGCTCTTCACATGTGAACAATGAAAATGGTTTCACTTATTTGGGAGTTTCCTTGCATTCTCTTATTTCAGTTTTTCTTTCAATCTTAAAAAAAGCTATTCCTTTGCACTGTCACCTCTGATCCTTTCAAAGCTAGGCAGTTTGTCTATGGTTAACAATCTGAAATTGATGTTTACTTTCCAAGCAAGTTAAATGCATGACATCAACATTTTTCATCTGTGTTCTTGATTCGTTTACCCGTACTTCATAGCATTCTCTCTCAGATTTCCCAAGTGTTACCATTTCTACTTTTCTCCCTCAGGTTATTTTCTTCAAATTGGTTTAGAACAAATGTAAAGCTAATCATCAAACCTTGACATTTAATGAAATTGCAGAGCTAGGGGAATTTTGATTATGGTGACTATATGAATGCTTTTATTGCTTGTTTTCAGTTTAATTTTAATTGTAGTCATCCATTATGATACATTAAATAAGTAAATACACTGACTTTCAGCTTAGGAAATTATTCTTTTGGACTGCTACTTTCATAGTCCCCCAGCCTATGTGGTCATGTTTCATGTTTGTGCAGGTAATTCTTCAAATAATTTGGTGTTAATCATTTAGGGAAGACCTGCACAACTTGGCAATAAATAGAGGCCAAAATTAAAATAGGCTAAATTTATTTGGGCTGCAGATAAGTTTTAATTAAATATTAATTAATGATTGTTATTAATTAATATTAATGAATACTATTATTAATAATTAATAGCAACAATTAATTAACGATTAATGATTAATATTAATAATAATGAATAATTAATATCAATTCCATCCTCCTCCTCCTCTTCCCAGCCTCAGGTTGAATGATGAAGGAGCCTTGAGGGGCAAGCGTTTGCCTCTCTTCTTCTTCTTTCTTAGGAGAAAGGTGGGCAGAAGAGGAGCCTTGCAGGACAAGCGTTTGGTCATTGTCATCCTCCACCCATCCTTCTCCTCGAGAGAAAGCCAAGCAGCTGAGGAGCCTTGCAGGGCGAGTGTTCGCATCTCCTCCTCCTCCTCCTCTGTCTGTCTTTCTCCTCAGGAGAAAGCCAGGTGTCAAAGGGGCCTTGCAGATTGAACATTTGCCCTTCCTCCTCCTCCTCTGCATGGCATTCTCTTCAGGAGGAGGCTGAATAGTGGAGGAGCCTTGAAGTTGTTCCACATCCTCGTGGACCACCCAAAATCCTTTGGCGGACCACATGCGGCCTCCAGGCTGTATGTTATGCAGGCCTGATTGAAGAATTCAAAGATTAACACCAACATCTTAAATTAAACTCAGAGAGTAATAGACAGACAGTGAAGCAAGGCACAGTATTAGTTTTATATGCTCTGAACATCTCATCCCCACAAGCTGCATAGCTGCTATATTCTGTGCTAGGGATAGTAATTCTAGAATTTTCATTCTCAAGCACTGTTGGGGAAAAAACAATCCATTTTCCTTCCTGTAATGTTCAGATACTCAGGAACTCCCTGCCCCCACACCATGCCAGGAAACCTTTTGAAGAAAGCTATGGAGCTTCCTCCATGGCAGGAAACCTTTCGAAGAAAGCAATGTAGCTTCCCCAAATGTCATCCAGAAAGCTGTGCAGCTTTCAAAAAGGATGAAAGGGGGAGCACAAAACAGAATGTTGTACAACTTTAAAATCACTTTTCTCCTAAAAGATGGAGGTGAGGAGAGCACCAAATATAATGGTGCACTGTTTTAAATGTTGCACAGCTTTAAAAACTGCGCAGCTTGGGGGGGGGGACATAAAATAGAATATGTGCACCTTCAAAAGCTTCAGAGATTTCCAAAATGATGCAGAAAAAAGTACAAAAAGAAGGTTGCACAACTTTAAAATGGGAACAGAAATTACAGCCCTGAAAGTGCAAGAAACAGTAGATTTTCCACAGAAGAAACAGACAAACAGTACTCATGGAGAGACTACACTATAGTGTATAATTCTCTGTTTTTACAGGGTTTTTGTTTTGTATTTTGTGCAGTTTTCCCTAGTGCACATATAGCAAAAAACAATGTAAGCTCTTTTTTTTCCGGGAAAGCAGTGCAGTTTCTCAAACTGCTCAGTTCACAAAGTGCGAGGGTTTTATTGTACTTAAAACAACAGCAGCAGCAAAGTTCCTGAAAGATTGCAAGAACGTCTTGGGTGCTAATTTTTTTCTTGAAAATGTTTCAGAGGGTTTGGGAACTCAAAATTTGGACCCCAATTGGGAAAATGTCAAATACCCATTCCATCCCTATTCTGTGCCATCTTTAAAGGGAACCTGAATAAGTCTGCATTATAGTAGTTCAGTCCAGATGTAATCCAGGCAGAATCTAGCTAAAAAAAGAGGCAAAATCCTCTTTCGCTAGCTAGATTTTTGTAACTGGCAAACTAGCCTAAATTGATCAAAGGCATTTCTAGCCACCAGATCCATCTGTGCTTACAGAGAACTTCTTGATCCCTGGTGAACACCCAAACTGTTTACATGGTCTTCTAGAGGTTGTTAAAGCATGTCCCCAACTGGTTCCAGACCTCCATTAAGATGAACCAGTGTTCCAACCCATAGTTTTCCCAACAAATCTTGATTAAACTTAACTTCATCCATTACAAAACCACTTCAAGAAACTGGTTTGGGTTTTTTTACAGCTTCTCTGGGAGTAGTAGATGGGAAAGATGTAGCACTGCATCTCATCTGCATAGTGATTACAGTTTTAACCAAATGTCTATATGACTTCTTCCAGGGGATTCATGTAAACCAGTGCTTCCCAAACTTTGGTCCTTCAGAATTTGTGACTGTTGACCAAGCTGGTTTCTGGGAGCTGGAGTCCAACATATTTGAAGGACCAAGGTTTGGGAACCACTGATATAGACATTAATGTATATGGGTAGAAAATATGGAACATTGAGTGGCCATGATGTTGAACAAATGTTCACCAGCAGAATTGACTGGATCCTTCCCAACAGAAAGGCTGTAACCATGATATCATGCCTCATAGAGACTTGGGTCAAATGAAAACATGGCCAATGGTATTGAATGCTGAAGGGTCCAGAGAAGCCATCAAATTTAAGCAGCCTATCCATGACCCAACAAATCTCATCTACCAAAACCCTTCCCCTCCTTAAAGCTGGAAACCAGACTGGAGTATCAACTTTAAAAATTAAACAACAGTACTGCTTCCACAACAGATGAAGATACATTGGGAGGGCCAGCCATCTTGTTTCACTTCCTGGTGATTTCAAAGAAGGGAAGGGGTGATACAGATGCCTTTTGCATTATAATGCTGTTTGACTTTTTTAAAGCCCCATAGAAGGAACTCTTGACTTTTTTGTACAGGAGTTGTGAGATAGGAGAAACAGTGACGATTACAAATAATGAGTAAGCCAAGTCAAAGTTCATGGTGACTCATGATGTAATTGTGTGTACAGTGTTTCTTCTACTCTCTTTCCAATTTCTAGAAGAGAAAATTATGGGATTCCACTGCTAAAATAGAGTAGAATTAATGAATCAAAAAGTATTAATATTTGTTAAATACCATCTAAAAACTGCCTGTTTTTGTTCCCTGGTCTTTTCAGGGAAGGGAGATTTTGACTGAAAAATGTGTATAGAAAAGAAGAAAACCAGAGACTCAGTCCCCAATGTGCATTAATTATACATTGTGCCCAACACATTTTGGAAATATAATTTCTAATTAAGGGCCTTCTACCCCTCCCCTTAAAAATTATCTACAACAGTGAATTCTTATACTTTTTCTGGCTAGGCAAACAAAATAACTTTGAAGACGTAAATCATTACATCTTGAAAAGAGCCCTGCTTCCCTATATCTAATAATACTGCTGTAGTTATATCATAGAGTTCATGTTTCTTGTCTTTATAACCAGTTGACAGATTGCCTTTATTTGAGTTATGTAATGTTCAGATACTGGAATATTTAGATTATATTTTTGCAAGATGTATAAAGCTATTGCAAATCTGCAAAGCTGAAATCTTTCTTGAAGCCTACCTACATGTTACACTCATTACGTGAGTAGCCTAGCCTTGCCTTTTGGGAGTTTGGAGACTCCCACTGCGAAAACACCAAGAAAGGTGGAGAGGGAAATAACAGGCACACCAAGAAAGAGGAGGAGGTGATTTTGCATTTTCTCATTAATGACTAGTGTCTATAGCACATAGGAATAGTAGAAAAAGAAATGCCTACTAGCAAAGAGAGAAAGAAAGGAAAGCAACGACTAGAAGAACCCCATAATTACATTTCTTTCATGATATGTGTGAATACTATATTCACTCTAACTTTTTCTCTACTTGTTACTGTGAGAATCCTCCATGGTTTTAACAGCACACATGCTCAGATAAGGAGTGTAATGTGAATCCCAGTCTCCTGGGAATCAGTTGGATTGGATCCAGAATGCAGTGAGCATCATTGGGCCTTCACAGTGATGCTATCTCAACTTCTGCTTCACTCTTAGAGGACAAGCAGTCTTCTTTTTTAACATTGTATTTATATACCTTCAGTCATTTTCAACCCATGGCAACCCTAAGGTGAAGCCTAAGGTTTTCTTGGCAATATTTGTTTAGAGGGGATTTCTCTTTCTCTTCCTCTGAGACTGAGAAAATGTGACTTGCCTAAAGTCATAACTGAGCTGGGATTCAAACCCTGTCTCTAGAGTTGTAGTCCAACATTCAAACCACTGTACCATGCTGGCTCTTTATCAATGCTGGCCCTCCTTGTTTCAACAGTTGGCTAAATTTCTGCTTTTGAACAAAAGTGGGATGGCAGGGATTTCAACAGCGAGATCTGTTGATAATAAAAGAATCAGTGGCAGGACTATATTGCCAGACTTAACTAGACTTCCTTAATTTTTAAAATTTGATCTGTCACATTAGTTTGTGCATTGCATTTACAGTGATTGTGTGACTGGGGAAACGTGGTATATCACTTGAGAAGGAAAGATAGCTAATTGTCTCCAATTTTGATCAGTATTAATAGCAAAGCCCAGATTTCTGGTTGATAGAATGCTGTTGTTCCACTTCTGTGCAATCCTGTGCCTATATATATATGTAGAAATATATAGAAATTGTTGCTTAGTTCTTGTTGTGGAGCTGTACCTCTACAGGAGGTAGCTGGGGTGGGTGGGAAATGGAGCTGAGTGGGAGAAGAAGACAGTGATTGGCTGGTGGGAGCTGAAGATCTAGGATAGGCTGGCCTGCTGTTTAAAAAGCCAGCCCAAAACTTAATGTTATGCTCACCACAACTGTAGGAGTGATCCAGCTCCAAACTTGAGAGGAAAATTGGCCAGAGGCTGAGAGGAATAAGTACCGTAGTAATGTGACCTGCTTGTGAAAGTCTGGCAGTGTTTGAAATGTTTCATCCAAATAATTATACAAGGTCCTATAAATGTGTATAAGGATTTTCCCTTCCCATTTTGCACAGGGTAGTTGCCTTTTGAACTAATATTATAATGATCAACAGTCTTTATTTATTTTGACAGTGCTCTTATATGATTATTTATAATTAACATTCCCTTTTAATGCTGGTTTAAATATTCTGTCCTGCCATTTATTTCTTAATCTGCTATTTAGTCATTTTTTGTTGTTGTTGCTTTCACATCTGCATCTATTTTATTGTTAAATTTTCCAGATTTCTGCACAAGTTACTTAATCTTGTTTTTGTGGGGTTTTTTTATAGATACATTTCTGAAGGGATTAACACATTCAGCACACTTCTGTATCTGCCTGATTTATTTTCAGTATCTGTATTTATTGAAATAACTCTTTTGTTTCATTGAGAAGATTAAAGACAGTATTTACTTTGATTTTTTTTCAAGCAAAGTACCTACCAGAGCTATTATTCATTTTTAAAAAACTGGTTGCTGTGGTTACCATAGTGATATCAAGCCTTTTATTAAAACCATTGCCTGTGTTTTCTGTCTAACTTCCACGATGCTGTTGGGGGAGCTGTAGTTCCATGAAATCTATATTGTCATGGAAGAATATTCTAGCTCTTTATAGTTAAGTTATGCTGCATTTTTATAAGAATCTGAAGCTTATGAATCTAGTTTATCATGTCTATCATTTAATTGTTCATGCAAGCCGTTATTTCATGTAGCGATTTACAGTCATCTCAGTGAAATAACCGTTTTGTGTCCCAAGATGAATGATGCATGTTCAGAAATTGTGGGTCCACTTAAAATTATGGTGCCAGAAAAAATATGCTTAAAGGGAAGTAATAAAATAATGTCTCTGTTTTGAGTAAAATATTGTGGATAGATTTTTTATTTTTTGGTGTGATTTCAAGTAGGCTTCTAAACTAGCTGTGACTTCCAGGTTAAGCTAACTTTAATTTTTGAAAAAGATGAAAGTTCTGCTGTATAACCACGAGGCAAGAACATAATTCCATGAAACAAACTGCAGTTAGACCATATTGTGGTATTTATTTCAACATACGCATAGTACAATAAACAATAGCAACACATAAGGTATGTGTCTACTTCAACCTGGCCAAAATCTTTTGGGGTTACATTTAGATGAATTGAATCTATATTTAATTGGATGTAACCACTATTGAATTCAGTGGGAGTTCAGTTTAGTGAATTCATTCCTTATCCCAATAGGAAGGACATGCAGAGAGGCTAGAAATACTGGTTTACTTTTCATCATTGTCTGCCTTCCCAGGAAGAACAGACAGCCTTGATTCAAAAGAGTAGCTCTTTACCTGTGTGAAGCAATTGTGTCATTTCCATAACTTCCAGATTCCTGGGAAACATACATTTCTAGCAGTAAAAATGGAGAAGAAGCCAAAATGACTCAGTAGGGGATGAACATATTCATTGGGCATTGAATGGTGACTCACTGCATGTGTGTGATGTGTGCGAGAGGTCCTCTTGATACATTTTTTTTTTGAGAAAGTGATCCAACTACTAGTTTTTCTGTTTCTCTCAGACTGATGTATAAGGGAAGCAGACTGCTGTCTACAATTTCTTGCTTTCTTTGTCCCTGCCCTCACAGTGGTTTCTTCCCCACCCCTTGAAGTTGCTCGTAGTGCCTGGACTCATTAAATGTGTTAAATTTGAAGGGAAAAGTGAGAAGAAAATACATCAGATATTTTGTCTGGCAGCTCCTTTTTATACGAGAGAAAAGAGCATAGTTGAAATCTGAGTTTCTACTAAGAATAACTGTAATACTTCTCTTTTGTATGAAGACTTGGATTTCTCTGTTGTAAACAGGTAAAGAGAAATTGATGTTTCTAGAAATAGATTTTTTTCTCTCCTATAGATTATTTTTTTCTTAGAGGGGAATATCCCTGTTGGACATCAACATTTTCTACCATCACTTGTACCCTTGCAATGTTTTTCAGCTCTATGACTTTTGTCGATTTGTTGTCTCCCACACTAATACCCTTGCTGTCATGTTTTCATGATTAAGAAATATGGTGTTTGTGTGAGACAATAGATGTGTTTAGGCCTAGAAAATCCCCACAGAGAAGTGACCCTTGAGACAACCAAGCTCTCTAAAGACAATATCTACTCTATCATATTAAATGGTGATGGAAACTGCCTGCCTGCAGGTAGACTAAGTTGATGAATTATGTGATAATAATAGGCATTTCTGGTATAAGAAGTCATTCATTTTGAACTATTCATTCTTTCAAAATTTCAGCCTCCCTTACAGTCTCCTCTAGATTTCAGTCTCCTTATTTTGAAGATCCAGCATTTAAAATGGTTGGTTCTACTCTTCCAGGCATAAACTGTAAGGAAATGATACACAGAATATTTTAACCTGCATCCAATCATGTACAGTATGTTACAAGTTTCCTGGATGTGGCATCTTCAAGACACTGGTGTTGAAATTTATTCGTTGTTGTTAACTGCCATTAAGTCAGCTTCAATTTATGGTGACCCTATAAATGAGAAACCTCCAGGTCATCCTATCATCAACACCCCTGCTCAGGTCTTGCAGACTCAGAGCCAGAGCTACCTTGATTGAGTCTATCTGTGATGTTGTCTTCCTCTGTTCTTACTGCTTTCTACCTTAGCAAGCATTACTATATTTTCTAGTGAATCATGTTTTCTTGTGATATGTATAAAGTACTTAGTAGGAAATAATGTCTCATTTTAAAAATAAATTCCTTGTACTTTTAGTATATTTTCTAGTTCAAACAAAACCCATCAGCTCCTCCTATTTCTGGCCTTGGGGCTATAAGGAGAAGGATCCCTGTTGAGATGCAAATGGATTTTAAATTTCCTGGACTTTGCAAATCTCCCTGTAGTCACATGGCAAGGAGGAGAAGGTGCCTGCCTGCCAGAGATATCCTTCCCACCATATACCATCTTAACTAAAGACTGAAACAGCATGTAGGCATGTGACTAACACCTCCAATGTTTTTTCTCCTGTTTGGTTTGTAACATCTTGCCTGATGAAGAAGCCCGTGGAACTTTGAAAGCTTGCAACAAGTATATTGTGCATTTTGGTTGGCCAATAAAGGTATCCCTGATGGATTTTTGTTTGAATTTGCTGAATGGCCAACACAGCTACTCCTGAATGTTTTCTGTGTTATCTAGTGTTAAGGTAGCTGTTAGTTCCCCACTATGCCTTTGACAGAAATCTTCAATTTTAACAGATGCTTATTATTTTAGTCATGGTGGAGGGGGAAAAATCAGGACACCTCATGGCATTACCCATTTTTCTTATTAAATTTGATAGAACATTGGCTGTGAAATCAATTATATTGAGAGACCCTTTGGAAATGTTTCTTTGACACTGATTGTGAGTCAGCCACTGCTCCTTGGATAAAACTGTTTTTGTTTATATCAAACGTGGCTAGTCACGTCTTTTTTTTGGGGGGGGGAATGATGGAATATTCAAAGTCCTAATTTACAGTGATTTAACCATTTTTGAACAGGAGCAGGCCTGTCATTAAGCAGAGCTGAGACAATTACTGGAATAAGCAGCTGTCTGGAGGGTGGGTTGGACAGCAGTGCTGGAAGATAAAGTAGTGTGTTTTCAAGAACCTCTCTCAGACCCTCTAAACTAGCTAGCTGTCTCAAGTATGGAATAGGAGAGCTCTTATGGCAAATGCTGAAATAAGTTTCAGCCATCATTTATCCTCTGCTTTAGGAAGCAAAATTTCTTTGGCCACCTCTGTTTTTGATATGTAATATGTGTGCTTCATTTTTACTCAGCCTGTTTCACATTAGGGAGCCCTGGTGGCCCAGTGGTTTAATGCCAGTATTGCAGCCACAATGTTGTGAGTTCGATCCCAGAGTGCTCCAGGTTGGCTCAGCCTTCCATCCTTTTGTAGGATGGTAAAATGAGGACCCATCCTGCTGGGGGCAATTGACTTACACATTGTAAACTGCTTAGAGATTGCTTAGTTCACTATGAAGCTGTATAGAAATGTAAATGCTATTGCTATTGGTAAGAGAACTGTAGACCTAATTTACAGGACTCAGTTGGGTTCAAGAAGCTGATAGGAGAAGTAATTAGGGGCAAGTTTATCACTCAGCAATAGATTCTAGTTTTGCAACCTAAACAAGAAAAGGAATGTAGGTTTTTTGTTATTTCTGTGTAAGGCTGAGAAAAAACTACTAGACAGATTCTGCTAGTCAGCACTGGCAGTACTGAGCTAGATGGATTGTATCTGACTATCCATAAAGGCAGCCTTTATGGATTCGCTGATCCCATTTTTTCTCTTTTAGTATGGTAG